AGTGTCCCAAGGCTGCTCAAGGCAACAAGGTCCTGGGTCTGTCCCACAAAACCATTCTTCCCTCCTAGGCCTCTGGGCCTGTGATGGGAGGGGCTGCTATGAAGGTCTCTGACATACCTTTTTCCCATTGTCTTGGCTATTAGCACTTTGCTGCTTTTTAGTTATGCAAATATCTCTATCAAATTGTTGCTCCACAGCCTGCTTGAATTCCTCATGCCAAAAAGCTTTTTCTTTCTTTGTCACGTGGCTAGGCTGCAAATTTTCCAACCTTTTATGCTCTGCTCCCCTTTTAAATATAAATTCCAACTTTAAGTCATTTCTTTGCTCCCACATCTAAGCACAGGTGTTAGAAGCAGCCATGTTACTTCTTGAACACTCTGCAACTTAGAAATTTCTGCTACCCAGTACCCTACATCATGACTCTCAAGATCAAAATTCCACAGATCTCTAGGGCATGGACACAATACAGCCAAGTTCTTTGCTAAAGCATAACATGCATGCCCTTTGCTCCAGTCCCCAATAAGTTCCTCATTTCCTTCTGAGACCTTGTCAACCTGGACTTTATCGTCCATTTCACTATTCGCATTTTGGTCACAATCATTTAACTGGTCTCTAAGAAATTCTAAACTTTCCCTCATGTTCCTGTTGTCTTCTGAGCCCTCCAATCTTTCAACCTCTGCCCATTACCCAGTTTCAAAGTCACTTCCACATTGTCAGGTATCCTTATAGCAATACCCCATTCCTTGGTATCAGTGTTCTGTATGAAGTCATTCTTGCATTGCTATAAAGAAATACCTAACCAGGTGTGGTGGCTCACACCTATAATCCTAGCACTTTGGGAAGACAAGGCGGGCGGATCACGAGGTCAGGAGTTTGAGACCAGCCTGCCCAACACAGTGAAACCCCATCTCTACTAAAAGTACAAAAATCAGCTGGGCACGGTGGCACGCACCTGTAGTCCCAGCTACTCAGGAGGCTAAGGCAGGAGAATTGCTTGAACCCGGGAGGCAGAGGTTGTGGTAAGTCGAGATCACACCACTGCACCTCAGCCTGGGCAACAGAGTAAGACTCCATCTCAAACAACAACAACAACAACAAATACCTGAGACTGGGTAATTTATAGGAAAAGAGTCTTAATTGGCCTATAGCTCTGCAGGTTGTACAGGAAGGATGGTGCTAATAGTGCTAGCATCTGCTTTGAGAGAGGCTGCAGGAAGCTTTAACTTATGGTAGAAAGTGAAGCAGAAGTAGGCAAATCACGTGGCCAGAGCAGGAGAAGGAGAGTGTGTGTGTGGAGTGGTGCCACACACTTCTAAATAACTAGATCTCATGAGAACTCATTCACTATTGCAAAGATCGTACCAAGTCATGAGGGATTTGTCCCCATGACTCAGACACCTCCCACTAGGCCCCACCTCCCAGCACTGGGGATTATAATTCTACAAGAGATTTAGGCAAGGACAAATATCTAAACGATAACAAGCTAACAAACAAGTTTTTTAAAAACTAAGAATAATCACATTCCTAATTACATCTTAAGATATCTCAGGAGGTTATATCCTTATTTCAGTAACTCCATCATTGCCCAAAATATATGCTCCTTAAGGGCAGGGATCTTATCTTATTAATATTTAAATTTCTCTTCCTTCCTAGGCATTCAATAAATATGTGATGACTCATTTGTTTCAGTGGGTTTACTTTGGAGAAAGTCAATCGAATCTGAGAAATAAAATCTTAAAAAATGGATCTCAGTTTAATCAAATGTTAAATATAACCAATTTACACTTTGTATTGCTCTTTATATTTTTTTGTGCCTTAAGTATTTTCTTTTTAACTAGGAAAACAGAATAAACCCATGGCAGCTGGGCCCATGGCTCATGCCTGTAATCGCAGCACTTTGGGAGGCCAAGGCAGGTGGATCACTTGAGATCAGGAGTAAGACCAGCCTGGTCAACATGGTGAAACCCCATTTCTACTAAAAGTACAAAAATTAGCCAGGTGTGGTGGCATATGCCTGTAATCCCTACCTGGGAGGCTAAGACAGGATAACTGCTTGAACCTGGGAGGTGGAGGTTGCAGTGAGCTGAGATTACACTACTGCACTCCAGCCTGGGCGACAGAGCAAGACACTGTCACAAAATACATACATACATACATACATACATACATACATACATAAAATAAACCCATGGCACTTTTAAACAAGGCTGGTGGGAAAATCTTACTGGAAGACGTTTTGGAAATATGTATTAGGAGCTTTAGAATACACATTTTCTCTGATTCAGTGGTTTCATTTGTAGGGATTTCCTTTAAGGATATGACCTGTAAGATTTAGCTATAAGAATTATGATTGGTGGGGCACAGTGGTTCATTCCTGTCATCTCAACACTTTGGGAGGCTGAGGCAAGTGGATCGCTTGAGCCCAGGAGTTTAACACCAGCCTGTGCAACATGGTGAAACTTGATTTCTGCAAAAAAGTACAAAAATTAGCCAGGTATGGTGGCATGCACCTATAGTCCTAGCTACTCAGGAGGCTGAAGTAGAAGAATCACTTGAGCCTGGGAGGCAGAAGTTGCAATGAGCCATGACTGTGCCACTGCACTTCAGCCTAGGCAACAGAGGGAGACCCTATCTCAAAAAAAAA